GTCACCAGTATTGAACAAAGCCATTAATTCTTCTTTATGTTCTTGGAAATGATTAGATGAAGAATTATTATTATTATTATTTATTATTGTTATTATTATTTATAAAAAGTGTAATCCTTAACCAAATACCAAAGGTAGAAAATGGGAATGACAGCTAAAGCTCAACGATGTTGCAAGCCGCTTACTACACAATCTTGTTATGTGAAAGATAAGTAATCAGCAGCAGTGAGGGCCCTAACCCAGCTGACACATGAATGCATACCTTTGATTGATTTTCCATTATAATATACTTGGAAAGCAAAATATACACACATGGCATGACACTTGTAAGAAGGTAAAAAGGGCTGTGAGCAGCTATCCAGTTGCTTGTCCAAAGATGCGCCCAGTTAAATGTTTCTGATAAGTAAAGGTTAATTGTTCACTGTGGGTCGAAGACTCGGGCTGATGCCAGCGTCAGCTCAAACAGCACACCAAAACGTGGTCCTTCCAGTGAGGCACTCATTTTCCTGGCACCTCACTAACCCAGAGCTTTCCTGCTGGTTGCTTTAGGAATTTAGTGTCAAGTATTGAAATGTGCTCAAGTCAGATGTTCTTGGTTAGAGCTGATCTGGTTCTGGTAACAGCAGACATAACACCAAATGAAAAGCACAGTTGTCTTACATAGAATAACACGATATTATCTTCAGTTGCAAGGGCTGGATTCAGGAAATCACTTCCATGTGTGATTAAATCAGTCCTTCCCCAGGACAGCATTTATAAATCCTTTTCTAACTTTCTTCTCATACCTTGTAAGTCCTACTCACTTTCATGAGTTGAAGAAAGTTCCCTGAGGTTAAGCAAGTGCTTAAATATGGTTCTGAAGAGATGCTTTTGAATGGGGTAGAAAAGACTGCATTTTTTGTATATGCAGCCATAGGAAGGTTGTCTGCAGTTCTTCAGTCTAGTCCCAGCGTTTGGGGTTATTTTGTGGCAATCAAAGACCATCTACTGGGTCCCACAGAAGTGCTTGATCCCCAGAGAGGACACAACGAGATGTTGAAATCGTACCATCCCGCTCACAAACTTCCTCATTCAGTTCAGTTGCAACAAGACTTGTGTTGAAAATAAAGCAGGAACATGGGCTTTATGCCCAGCAGGACCCAAGTCCTGAGCTGTGTTTCTGGCCAGCTGGATGAGCTTTAAGGTCCTTCCCAACACAAACCATTCTCATTCTATGACTCCATATACCATCCCCTTCTAATGAGAGATAAGTAGACACAGCCAGAAGCTGACTTGAACAGTGAAGACAAATATTGCCCTGTCTTCTTGTAATAAATAGCATCATTGGTTTCCCAAGCTGAGCAGTGCCTGGAGGCAGAACCCTGTGGCAGGGAGGGAGGAGGAGGAGGTGGTGAAGGCTATGGGAAGGGCGGGATGTGCGAAAACTGCCTGTTGCTTCTGTAAACAGCAGTCCATAAACCGGTTTCCTCTAATAGCCTCAATTGCTGTTGCCCTAGTTAGGTAGGAGCAAGCACGTGGATGCTTACTCATGCTCAGCTCACACCTTGGCTTTGTGTTGTTGACCCCCGATGTGGGGAAGCCATGCTGTGGTATGGTGAAGTGCTTCCTTGAGCAGGTGCCAGAGCAGTGCTGTATTGAGATGTTCAGTTCCACCAGCTAAAGCCAGCTGAAGCTTCCAAAGATGCATCATGTTTCCCGGCATGTGGTTGGAGAGACCGGAGTTAGTTTGGGTTCAGGCACAGGTCGATCTCCACCAGGAAGCTTTGAGGGCTCCGTGTGGTGTTTCCTACTGAAGATGGACCCGTTTCCAAGGATTTCATGAGAGCAACTGCAAGAGCTGGAGGTGAAGAAGTTTCTCCCCAGGATCAATTTGCTGCATGGCCAATACCCAAACCTTATTTAAACACTGAGGTTGCACACAGAGGCACTGCAGGTCTGCAGCATCCTAAAGCCTGAAGAGAGTCTGGTTTAATTTCACATGACTTCATTGAAAGCAGACTCTGATCCTCTGCTATCCCAGCCATTGCAGTAGGAAGGAGCAGGCTGCCACTGAGAGCAGAGCGGTGTCTGCAGAAGTGTTTCCGTACAGCGAAGAACGGCTGTCAGTCACCTCATTGCTCCTTGTGCTTTCCTGCCAGCTTGCTAGTGAGAATCTGATGAGCCCTGTATTTGTTATACTCCCTTCAGGTATTGTTTGCCAAATCCAAACTTGCTCTGTAACTGCAAATGGAGATCAGGTGAAAGAACCGAATCCTTAAATTCTTCCTCAGATGCTACTCACACTCATTTTGGTTTTCCAAGCTTTTGTGTTCAATGCATGGCCCCTGTGCTCAGACCTGAAAGCTGGAGCTGAAGAGCTGTGTAGATGTTTGTATTGAACAACAAAACGAGCTTCTTCTGTTGCAGCATAACAGCTTGGAGATTTTCCTCCTTGGTCCTGACTATCGATAGGGCAAAACTTCCAGAAGCATCTAAATCTTCTTGACAGCCTCTGACATGGGGCTCTTAAGGCACAAACAGTCCCAGCGATCTTATTCAAGTGTTCTGCAGGCAAATAATAACCGAAGCCTCTCCCCTGTGGTGTCCAAAGGCTGAGTTCTGTGACACCTGCAGCTGTGCTAGAGGAGAGGAGACGTTAGGCGAGCACCTTGCCCCTCTGAAGAGCTGAGGTTGTTTCTGTTCCCACTGGCTTCCCAGGGAGATGAGGGCTCTGAGCACCTAGCAGGATGCTGTCACGCAAAGTCGTGGTGCTGCAGCAGTGGAACGAAAGCAAAAGTAGGGCTTTGCTGTCAGAGGGCATGAAATAACAGCAAGGATTTCCTGGCAGAGATCTCTTTGCCAGCTTCCTTTCAGGTTTCATTCACTTGATGCATTTCAGTGCTTGCGTTCGAATAATGTTTCTCTGAGAAATGAAGGGCTGTATTCAGCCAGCCAGGCTGTGCCTTAATCTCTGTGCCTAGTCCGCAGACAAAAACGTGGGTCCTCTGAAGAGTAACTGAGGGCTTCAGTAAGACACTGAGCAGGGAAGCTGTCAAGAGCCAGGTAATAGGATCTATGCACAGAGAGACTTCACCTGGCTGGGTCTGTTGGATATCAATGTGATGGGTGCACAGGAGCTTTCTCTCACGTTGCTGTAGTTTCTGCCTTAGTTTAACAGCCTGGCTGCTGTGCTTCTCGGTGTCTGGCACATCTAGCACTGGGGGCCTGTGATGTCTCTTTAGGTGACCCAGGACCAGGGCTGAGGTACAAGGTCACTTCATGTAGGTGGAGGCAGAATGGATGGTGCCTCTGGTTTTCAGGGGTGTCTATAGGATAAAGGCTCACCCTTCCAGTACTGGCTGTGGTGTCTCTGCAGGGTTACCTGCATCTGGGAGAGGTGGGACACGTAAAGCCATGATGCTTCTGCTGCAGAAAGTTCATATTCTCCACTGTGGAAGGAGCAGCATCTCCATTTCTTCCGTATTTGGAGCTATAAGAATAGATGCTGCAGCCTGTCTGGCAAAGTGCATTGATAACTTGACAAATCTATTGACCAGGGAATGGCACAGGAAGAACAGACTCCTCCACACTGACTTTTTGGAACCGTCACTGATAGTACAGAGCGTTTGTAAGGCACAGCAAGTTCCATGTGCTACATGACCTAACCTCACCCTCGCTAATTAGACAGATACCAGAGCATCTTTGCAGGGCTGCTGTTGCGTTTGCAGCATGCTCTGCAAAATCCTTCTGGTTCTGAGGGATACTCTTTCAACTTGTCTAGTGTGAGCAAATACTTTGAAGCAGGCACTAATCAAAGACTTAGAGCAGGACTTTCTTCATCATCCAACACCTTCTTTAAGTTTAAATATACTGAGATGAAAGTGGTTTATTGCAGTGAATACACGTCTAAGAAGTCTTATCAAAACCTGAGTCACAATAAAGTTGAGGAATTCACTAGCTGTAAACTGCTGCCATTAATGTTGTCAGTTCATTTAGTATTTCATTGTTAGTGTACTGAAAATGTCCAACTTGGAGCCTTCGAACTGTTTTGTGGTTGCTGATGTTGCAGCGACAGATGGTACTTTAAAGCCAATAAGTCAAGTTTTTGCTGCTAAAGCTGGATTGTAAATAGTCACCTATGGAATTCAACAAACTTCTGTAACTTCAGTGCTGCTTCTGCTGGTCTAATCCTATACAAACAGTGCCCAGGAAAAACACTGGGAGAGTTCCTTCAACTTCAGTCATTCACACTTGATGCCATTCCAGTAAAAGTAAAGTATCGTTGGTAAAGCTGAATCTTTGCAGATTCAAAGGTAAGTATTTGTGTGTTTATCAAAAGGAGGTGACTATGAGCCTGTTTGCATGATCCCTGTGTGTAGTCATATGGTGGCTGTGCAAGAGTTGCTTTTAATCATCAAAGGGAATAAACTGCTTTAGGGCAGGAGCTGGAATGGTAAAATCACCACAATTGGGGTGAGAAGATAAAACTCCAAACTCCAACCAAAGTTCTCTCTGCTTTAGTTGAAATTCTGTCTTTTAGAGTGCCTTGTAGCATCAGATACCATTGCAGGTTATAAAGTTAAGGGCAGTATTTGTATTTGAAACCACAGGGAAATACCTGTCCCCAAAGAAATCAATGGCCACGCTTACACTGTAGGAGCACTGTAGACACCTGAAGCCCAGGATGGAGTTATCCAGCTCAAGGATTGATGCTGATGCCCATGTGCATCTTCAGTGTGCAGCAGACCATGGTGGCAGACAAATGGGAAAGAGCCTGACTGTCCCATGAGGAGCTGACTTCCATGTGGTCTGTCCTGCTACCACCTGGTGAGGAGCAGGTCGATGGTAGATCGGGATGTCAATCATTTCCCACTCTGTTCAAACCCCCCTCAGCCATTATATACTTGCCTTGTGTTTGCTGATGCTGTTGCTAGATTGAATGTGCTGTTTTTTCTTGCAGCTCTGAAGCCTTTGTGGGTTGGTTGCCAAGTTAATGATTTATACCTTAATGCTCCATTTAGGGCTCTTGTGTTCATCGCTCACGGCGCTGGGGAGCACTGCGGCCGCTATGATGACTTGGCTCAGAAGCTGACAGGACTTAACTTGTTTGTTTTTGCCCATGACCATGGTGAGTAGCCTAAAACAGTCCTTGATTTACAGCAACCCAGGCCTTTACTGAAGTAAATGCCATTAAAGCTACTCAGCAGTGAGAAAAGAGTCAATGAAATATTTACAGCTAGGCATAAATGAGAAAGGGATCATCTGTTGCTTTGTAAAGGGCTGGATATTGAGTCTGTGAAAAGCTATTCCTGTTTACCTTGAGTTTGCCTCAGCCTTGTCCTTGACATTACTGCTGGTGCTATTTTAACCTCTCTGTACACGTTTATTTCTCTTTCACCTATCCCTTGAGGGATGAAGAGGTGTTGTCCACTGTGGAAGTAGGACTGGGAGCCATTTCTGCTGGATTCATGGTCAATGTCCTAAGTGATCCCAGAGGGGAGGCTGACAGCATAGCTTTCATATATATATATATATAAACTTGCTTTATATATATATATATATATAAAAACTTGTCTGTGTGGCAAAAAGTCCATGAGGAAGGAGATGCTGTCAGTAGACCAGAGGCAATATGTAGAAAGAGTTACTGAGCTCCAGGACACACAAGCAATTTGTTCAGAGCCGCTGTGGGCCTCCCAGGAGAATGCGGTTGCTCACTGTGCATGCTTAATGTTGTGCCTTAGTCCTTCATTCCCTTAGAGGAGGGAGGGATGAAGGTTTTAAGTAGAGTAAAATAAGAGTATTCGAAACAACGAACCTAGAAGGAATGATAAAACATTGGATTTATCGCATGGATCTGATACAGAGGATGCCTCTTCTGTTGGTGGAGAAGGGCCTTTGGTGTGAAGGTTCCTTTCAGGCATGTTTTATGCTGTATAATGAGGCAGTTTGTTGCTCTCTTTTTCCTTGAACATCTTTTTGACTAGAGAAGGATAAATATTTCATGGTTACGTTTCCATAGACTGATGTTGCTGGATTCATTAGTTCACTTAGTACAAATCTGGTTGCTCAGGCCAGTTAACAACTTCCTTCTCCCACTGAAACCTAGTTTGGGTTGCAAATTCAGCTTGGTTTTCTTCACCAGCAATGGGGAGAGGGTAAAGAGGAACCTGAAAGCAGAACAATGGAAACACAGCTGTGTTACACAAAGAGCTAATTCAACTGAGCCTAGATTCACTGTGAGTTAGAAAGACAATTAACAATATATTAGGCTCTGTTAAATAGTCTTTACACCTAAAGAGGTGAGCGATGAGGATAAACTTTGGTGGAATACAGGTTACAGCCTGAGCTGGATGCCAGCAAGTGCTAAGGACATGAACACCTCCATTGCCAAATTTGCTTAGATTAGACTTGGAAGTTTGTAGCTTTCCTCCACCATTTTCTCTATTCCAGATCTCTTGCATCCCTTCCTTTGGGTATCTTTGGGTGATATCAATTATCCAATTGTGTTAGCAAAATACTTGCTTTGTGGTCCCCATCTCTTACAGTAGCTCGTAGTCTCACAAGCTTGGAGTAGCTTTCCTGACCTGCTCATTTGTTCTGGTTCTGCTATTGTCATGGATAAAATTCCTAATAGAGGCACATTATGTAGGAGATTATGAATGCAGTTCCACAGCGTGGCTAGCGTGATTTCCCAAATGAGTTAGGAAGTTACTAGGGCTGTAGTATGCGTGACTTGACTGATTTATATTGTGTCTATGCTTCAGCCAAAAGAAGGAAAAATCATTTCCATTTGTATTACTGAGCCTGTAAGTGCTTATGCCCTGGTTTTAACCCCTGCCCAGGGCTCTGCACCATCTCCTGCTATTCCAGGCTCCAGCACGAAGGTGGGCACTACACAGAGTAACAGCATTCACCCAAATTGCTGTCTTAGTATTGCCCCCTGTAAGATGTCACCAGCTCGGTTCTCTGTACATCAGGATTTGTACATTTAATTTTGGGGTATTTCATAGTAATCCCCACACCGTTGGACATCATAGATATGTATTAGAAGTTTTCCACTGCTGTAGTGGAAATCTAATTCCAGATGCCCTCTTACATCTAATATTATTAAATTGCTTTGGTTTATATCAGTCCCATGAGAGAGAAAAATGGAATTTCTTTGTAATACAGCATTCTTCCTATGGTCTTTTTTATGGTGTTTTTTAGTACCCAGGTGACATTTCTGGGTTTACTTGGCATGAAGCCCCATGAAGGCAGAGTTCCTGCTGCTGGGCTGTGCATTTCTGCAAGCTCTGGGTATTCTGAAATGCCATCTCGCTTTTTCCATTTCCTTTCTATATTACTATTATTTTATTATGGCAGCATTCCAAGGACAGGAAAAAGAGGCAGACAAATACATGTGCTTATTGGCAATCAATTTAGGAAAGCCCTCTGAGAAGGAACCCGTGGGAGAGTCATCAAACTGGAGTGATATTGTGATTCTTCAATCAGTCGCAGGCAGATTGCAGATCCTGTAGTTATAATGCAGTACTTTTTAGGGATCTGTAAAGCTGAGAGCCAAGGAAAATGAGAATAGAGAATGTGGCTTTGTTTTCTCATACCAAACATTTTCAGTCGGTAAGGCACATGATGTTCCAGCTATGCTCATCTCTCTTCCTATAACATCTCGTTTGCTGAGATCTTATTCTCTATGCTTGCATTCCATGGCCAGAACTCAGAGCAACCACAATTTCACCTTCAAAAGCACATGTCAACTAACAGCACTTACAAAAACATTTCCAAGATGCACATGCCACAAAGATGGAAGCCGGCGCTTCCTAAGGGTTCTGTGCCTGTCTTATGTGAAGATGAGGAAGGCAAAATACATATCCTTAGCCTGGCAGCAGTTTCCAGCCCTTGGATTTGCTCGAGGACCTCTCCCCCAGTCTCCTGCTCTCTCCAAGCGGAATAAACTCTTTACCTGTCCTGGTACCCAGAGACCTCTGACTCTCTGACCCTCTTTGAAGCTGTTGAATATCCCACTCTCGAGTGATGTGTAACCTCAGATCAAAGCAGAGGGAAAAGTTGCAGCTCTAACAGCTTATTCACACGCTTTAGATGTTTCTAGCTGAAGTTCAGCTTTCTTCTGCAGCCCTGCTGCTACTCTGTGTGTGGTGAACGTTTGGGATGGGTTTGCAGGTCCCTCTCAGATACCTACTGCTGCTTGTGCTCCCCGTTAATTTTCTCTGTTTTCCCCTATTTAACAAAATGCTTACTCCCAAAAAGCAGAAAATAGCTGGAGCAGAGATGCTTCAAACACATCAAGTATCAGCTGGTTTTGGTTTGGGTCTTTTTCCAAGTGATTGCTGTGTTGTTCTTGCAACTGTTAAAAGAACATTTTGTTGATGAGAACAGAAGGCTTTTATTTATTCATAGCGCTGGGGAGGATTGATCTACACAGAAAGGTTAAAAAGGACTAAACATGATCAAACTGGGAGGGGGGAAATGACTAAGAAGGATGTCAGCATTAATAAGAGCAGGAATTAGGGTCATGCTGTGGGTGAGAAGTGACAGCTCATGCACAGCAGCACGAGGGAATGTTCCTGGAGAGCACTGCTCCCCGATGATGCGCTCAGGCAGGCTTCGGGGCCATCTCCAGGGATGGAGTCAGGAAAGCCTTGGCAAGCGCTGTCTGGAGCTGGTTTGCAGCACAACTGCTCCTTGGTGACTGTTAGCGGGGCTGGGTGTGGGACCGCTTATCCACAGCAATCTGTTCTCTTTCTGCTTCCTCCGATGGAGTCTACCTCGCTAGGGCAGGGAAAGTTTAAACTGCTTTTCTGCAGGGACATAGGAACGAATGGCACTGCCTGCCTGCATTCCTCTGACAGGAGGCTTGCAACAGGCTGTGGGCAGGTTTATTTGTTTTGCTCCAGAGAAGGGCTCCTGGCCTCCAGCATAATACATGAACATCGCTGGGAACGAAAATCTTCCATAGTACTGCTGGAAGTAGCCACTGGTATGGACCCGTTAGCATTTGCAGGAGTGCAAAATGACTGTTCTCCCCATGGATCCTGCCCTCATTCATGCCTGCTGCAGCAGGAGGTGGCTCACATAGAGCTGAGATTTGCTTGCACGTGAAGTTGCACTACCCGAACCATAGCAGCAACTGCACTGCTACTGATATGTTCCTCCTTAGACAGATGCTCTCCTGGGCTAGGAAACAGAATATAGCACTAGCTGTGTACCTGGATTGGTGCATCCTCTTCTGGGCTCTTTCTGAAGTGGTGGAAGTTGTTGTCCCAGGAGAAATTCAAAGTGCTGCCCAGTCCCTTGCATATACACAGGTGCTGAAGGTACCGGATGCTGCAGACAGAGCTCCCATGGCAGGGTACCATGGCTGGCAGGCAGAGAGATCTGGAGTCATGGAAAACCAGAGTGTTTCCCACACACTAGTGTTGGGAGGGGCAGGAATGCTGTTATAGTTTCCAGCATGGAGCTGGGACTGCAAGGGGCAAGAGAAACCCCGTTGTCAGGCTGAGTTCCCCTTGCTCCCTCTGTATTCCCTCTGCATAAAACCCGGCTCTCCAAGAGTCAGGAAAACTCTTTCTTTTCATGTCTTTGCTAACGGTTCCAACCTACAGACTCCTGGCCTGTTCCTGTTTGTCAGATGAGGACTGCTGCGGGGGCATTTGCCACTGATAGTTCGTTAGAATTGCTAAGCACAGAAGGAAGTTCTTTAGAGCTTCAGATCAAACTTTGCAAGTACATTCCCCATGGGGAAAAGACCCCTTTTGTCTTCAAATTATCTTGACTTGTCTGTCTTTCAGTCTTTTATAATGTTTCATTTGGAGTGGAGAGAGAGTGCTGCTAAGGAATGATTAATCTGTCTCACTGTGGTACAAGTGTATGGACGTAAATCTGTGCATGTAGCTCTGACAACTGCTGGAGCGAAAGCTCATGACAGAGCAAAACCAACAGGAACAGAAGGGAACACTTCAATGATTCCTTGACCCTTGATCTACATTAAGTGTCATATGGACCCATGAGCCCTGTCTGGAATTCATCCACTCTCCCCTTTTAGCCCAGGGGAAGATGTCAAAAGCAGGCACTGATGCCTGCTGCATGCTGTGTGGGCAGAGATGGAATGCG